TATATATATATATGTATACACGCGCGCATATACATTCTCTTAGAGCTGGAATAAAGAATTAGCAAACATTGGACAAAGGTGGGCCAATCAATGCATTTACAATCATGATGCATGTAGAGATATAGGTACCGATTTATACATTCACGTACAACTATAAATTAAATATACGATTTATTAATTTGTTTATTATTTTCATCTAAATGTATTACAGATAAATTTCAAGTTGGTCAGAATATAGCCCAGTCATATTCTTCTAAAGAAAACAATTCCACTATACAAAATTTTATTGAAGACGTATGGTACGATGAAGTAAAAAATTTTGATGCAAATAAAGTTGACCAGCCATTTGAGTAAATATCTTTTTAATATTGAATATTCTAATTACATATAGATTTTAAATATGACAAATATACTATAATATAAATTAATTCTTTAATCGCAAGAAAAGCCTCTTACATATCTGCATCATATTTATACTATATAGAGAATCGAGTTATTTATGTATTGTATATAAGAAATTGTACATAAATAATATTAAACTATTATAGTATCAATTAAAATGATTTTGAAGATATATTTATGATAACATTTTTAATGTGATTATAAAATAAATTATTTGTAGAATGCAAGTGGAGACAGGTCATTATACCCAAATAGTCTGGGCTACAACAACAGAAATTGGTTGCGGATTTATAAAGTATAAGGATACAGCATGGCATAGGAGCTGTATGGTTTGCAATTACGGTCCAGCAGGAAATATAAAAAACGAGAGAATGTATGAAATTGCAAATTAAGTAAATCTGACAGATTAGAAATGTAATAAAAGAAGTGATACTGAAGAAAATAGGAAAGCAAACAAAAAGCTATAATATGCGTTGTCAATAAAAACATACAGTTGCAACTGCATAATAATATTAATAAAGAGTAAAATAATATTTTCTTCTTTCTTTTTATTGTATCTTTTCTGTTTTTTTTTTCTTTCTAACGCTTCAAATAACATCAAATTTTTCTATAAATTGTCTTTGTTAGGTACAACTTTCTAACATAAAATGAAAAATAACAATATACATAATTTTTGCTAATGTATCTAGAAATAAAGATGTGTAATGAATAAAGTAGTATAAATTTTTTTAAATCTCAAGATAAGTTTTAATGTACAATCGCATACATACATTTAAAACAATGTTTTGTTTAGTCTTATTATTCTGTGCTAAATAAAATAAAAATAAAAATAAGTACCTATATTATATTATTCATGAAAATCATATTTTTATAAAATATGTCGAAGCCTTTTTTTGTCGTTGTTGTGTATCCTATAGACATCTATACACTAAATCGTTAACTTGTTTAAATACACGGATGCAAAGGATATGTTTAAAATTTATGGATATGTGTAAGGCAAGGGGGATATTAGTTCATGTATTACATACATTAGTATCGAACATATACTATTATCTGTCAATAGTATTTCCTGTTTCTTTTACATTCCACATATACAGGGTATCAAACTGCCAAAATCGAAATTAAATTTAGGATCTCAAAAAAAAACAACAAAATTTTCCTGATTTGTTTACAAACTCTCCATTTTTAAGATATTGACTTTTTAAGTTATTATACCAGAGAGAAATGAATAATTTTGTTAATAGTTTTAATTATTAATTAATAAAATATCTACTTATTATTTAATAAAAACAATTTTTTAATTATTCACAAATTTTATGATTTTATAACTAGCGATATCATTTTGTAGCTGAAAGTCAAGAACAGAGATATTCGTTTCCGTCATAATTGTAAAATAGAATAAAAGTAAGAAAAAGTAAAATACATAAATCATATTAAAAGTAACGCTAGAAATTTAATGATAACAGTAACATTGTAAAGAATACATAAATCATTAACAAGTAACTTTCTTATCTAAGATTTTTGCGCATATACTGTAACACATTTTCTCTTGAAACGCCTCATCTGCTCGATTGCATCCTGATCCGGCAGATCCCCTCGATTAACGGATTACATTACTCGCACCTTCTTCCGTTTACAAACTACTCATCCCCGCGGGCAGTCCAGCCTGTCGTGATGATTCTGCGAGCGATCCGTAACTTTCAGGTGCGCGCAACGACGAACGTCAGCGCGTATTCATCGTTTTTGAATTGCGAATGGATACAAGCGGTCCATACATCAGAAAGTCAGCGGCGCCCCGGGTGTGCCCGTGACTTCCCGGTGAGCGCGAGAACACTCGTCCTCACGCGGGAGAATGCGAAAGATTTCCCGATGAAGAAGCGATATCTCGCGTAAAGCAGGAGGAAAGGTGGCTGGCTATTAGGGGTTCTAAACGCTTTTTAAAACCGGATTTTGGGAGGAACGTATCGAGTGTCAGACGCGCAACAATGACGCGGACAAACATTCCGATATACAGGCCCACCCGCAGCGTCCATCGCTGCACAAGGGAAGTGATCTGCGACATGGACAACATAACGCGCAGGTAATGTTTGGACGCGCGTAAAAGGCGGAAAGAATGAACGGCGACGGCAAAAGCGGAAGAATTTGTATTCGTTGACAGCGATTTCCTCGGAGCAACGCTATTAGAATTGAAACGATTGTAAATTCATTGGGAATTTAGGACGTAAATATTATTCGCGATTGCTTATTCCAATATAATACGCATAAGAATTGTTAATGTATATAATAGCAAAGGATCCTGCGCTAATTATATAGTAGATAAATTAGATCCCAAAAAAATAATTAACTACTGTTTCTATTCTTTCAGTAATAAATTGTTCAGTGTTAAATTTCTGTAATTTCTTTTAGAAATATAGGGAACAAAAGATGTCATAGACATAAGGCTCAATAACAGATAGTTTGTAAGCTATATGATGTATTAAAGGTCTGTGAGTAAAAGTTTTATACCTTGGAAACATCCCCAATAACAATTTATTGACATTGCTTAAGTTTTGGGGATTGGACCAATATTATGCCAATAATTATGTTAAATTAAAAATAGCTAGAAAACTATCCATTGTGTTGAATCTTGTATGTATAATATTTTTTGTTCATTACAAGGTAGATCATTATAAGGTAGATCATGTATAGAGAGTCCGATTCACGCTTACAATGCTTAAGAATCATTTTATTCCTGTTGTTTCTCAATATTAAATAAGGACAAATGATGCTCACGAGTGCCGTGAACGTGAATCAGATCGCTGTCTATATATGAAAACTAATTAATTAATTTCTCTGGAATACAATTTTTCATATATAATTAGAGTTCGTTCACTTAATAAATGAAAAAAAGGTTGCAATTTGCATGTAGATATTATACACATCCTATGTGTATTATGCTGCACCATAAAACATTAACTTCAACTTCGATGAAACAAGTAAGTCGTAAAATTAAACGCAAATAGATTATTGTCATTTGAATAAAAATTGTAAATTTTTTATTTTTATTTTACTTGAAAAAATAGAGGTTTGAAATACAATCCGTCTGTTTTTGTCGGCAAGTGCAAAAGTAGAAAGCAACAAAGAATGCTACAAATATTATTGAACATAGTCGACTTAATAATAATAGATTATCTGTGTAAGAGAGATTAGGCTTTTCTAAGGCCGTAATCCGGATGCATTTAAATAACCGTTTAACCGTTTAAAGTTACCCTTCGGTTATAAGATTTGGAACAGGCCAGATTAACAGCAAGTTACCTGCCAACTTGCAGGGGACAATAAGAAAAAAGGAACAAAGAAGGAATCATAACATGCATTGTAAAAGAAAGTTCAAAGTCCATCGAGTTTTTTCTTTTCAATTTAAAAACTCTAAAAAGTACTTAATGATAATGAAAAATATCTAAAAGGATGAAACTTAACTGGCTATTAGAAAGAGAAATTTTTAGAAGAAAGAAAAGAGAATGAAGTTCCATATTTTCGGAAAAGAACTACGAAACTTAGTACAATAGATGAAGAGGGACAGAGACCGAGAAGAAAGATTCGTACTCTAGAGAAAGAACTTTAGAAGGCTCACGATCATATATCTATAGATCAGTAGGAGGGTGTCAACGAGCTCGACAAAGTCCCAGCGGGGTTTCCGCTACCCGAATTGCTACCGGGACTCCCCGTGTGAGAATCTGGTACACTTAACGCTAAGCTACCGCAGCAGCTCCCGGATTAGCCAGTTCTGTCAGTTGCGATCGTATTCGTGTCATGTTCCGGATAGAAATTGACATTCGCGTGCCACTTATAATCCGCTTTGAATCTAAAGTTTGCTTTTTAAAGTGTGCTCAGTTGTAGTTAAGGCTTAACAGGCTTAGAAAAAAGTATCGAAATATTGATAATTTTCCTAAATGATTAAGAGAAAGATACACATTGGTGAATTGTATTGTTTTGGGAGAGCAATTAAACAATAAAATTTTAATTTTCTAATCATACAATATTTTATTAAAAATAATAAAATAATATAAATGTTGAAGTAAAATATTTAATATTTAATATACTTATAAAGAAAAACATATTTTATATAATCAGTTTCATGACTAACTGTATATAGCCATAAAAAATCGTTTTGCAAATTATTAGGAAATTGTAATTATCGAGTAAAAAAACGACACGAATTCAAATCAAATATAAGATAAAAGATAAAAGATTTCTGAAGAAATGAATTATACCCAATTTTTTTAAATTCTTTGATTTAACGAGTGAGCATATTATCTTTTGATACTTCCCTCGGAATCACAGATTCATACGTAACCGCGAAACATCCCATAAAAACATATTGTAATGAAAAAAAAGGCGGAAAAAGAGCGCGGACAGAGAGACGCGTGTATGTTGCCGAGGGCGAAAGGGCGCAACCCACCATTCTTCCCCCTACGTCCTTTACAGTACGTCGCATAAACGAGCAAGGGGTTCTCTATTACATGAGGGGTTGCAATCGGTGCGGTTGGTGACGCCATCTTGAATTTAATCGCCGGGAAAATGGTGGTAGTCTCGAGGCAACGTTGATGAACGAATATCGTTGCCTGATTTAAAATATTATTAATTCGATCATATTTATGCAAGAAGTAGTACATAGAATTATCAGAGAAATATTGCAATTACAATTTGGACATACAATATTACAGAGAAAAGAGTATAATATTATAAATTATTATAATAATCTAATCATCCGCTAATATTCGCTAATATAATTATGAAAATATATTAAGAAGGGGCCATAAATATTGATAGATAGAATTGAAAATTGTCATATGTAATTTAAATATCTAATTGTTGCAATAATAAAATACTAGTTATTTAATAAAAGTCAATTTATTTCATTTCTGTGTTTCAATTAGAGTTGTACATTTTAGAGAATTTTAGAATATCTATTATATAAAATAAAAATATATTCATGCAGAGCAATGAGCTATTTTCTTCAAATTAAACGCTATCGATATATTATAAATATTTATTTCAACAATAAATCCCTCAATTATATAACAAATACAATATATAAATTTAATAAATATTTATAAAATATGCACTTTTTAAATATAGTCAGTCTTTGATTATTTACATCTAACATACTATAAATTTATACACATATTTACAATTAACATATTACTTTCTCAAAATACATGATTGTTACATCTAATTTACATTAAGAATACATAATAAACAACTCTAATTGCAAGTACTATCTATTTTAATTAGTAATAAATTATATAAGGAAAAATATCTCGGTAAAACTTTGTCTGAAAGATAAAAAATCTGACTTAAGAATTCAAGGCAATTTTGGCAAAATATCTCTAAAGCTATTCAAAGTTGTAATTAATAGTAATAGCCAAGGCAATTGCCAACGTTCGCTGAGAGGATATGACGCTAAAAGAAGAGATGAATATTTATATTATATTAGATAAATGTATATACATTATATTACATAAATATATACATTAT